TTCCAGTAGAACTATTTGCAGGCCTGGCTTACCCTTGCTATTAAAGAGAATGCGTTCTGAAGACAGGAACTGGCCTCACCTTTGTATCCTTCACAACATGAGACCCTCAAGGAATATTCAATGAATGAATGAAACGGAATAGAATGGAATGGGATTTAGGGCTGAAAACAGCTTCAAAGACTATGAAGTTCAGTCTCGATATTGATAAATGAGGAAGCTGGGGTCCAGAAAGGTTTTTAGTGACCTCTTGGGGCAGGACTCCCAAATACCATCCTAATACTCTTTTTCACTACACTCTGCTGAATTTTAAATGCAATTTTTCAGCACCTGCACCTGTTACAAATCTCTGTCAGATCAGGAATGTAAACATGTTTAGGGGATAACTGGGTTTGCTCACAAAATGATCGTATTTCCATATTAAATGTAAAAGCACACTTTGAGAAAATAGAAGATCCACTAATTAAATTTATTTCTAAATTAATTTTAAATGTTTTAAGTTTTGTTATAAATGAAGCTTTGAAATGCTAAATTTTAAACAATTTGGCGGCCTTTTTTATTTAATTGGTTTCTGAGAAACTATAAAGAACTTGAGAACAAGATAATTCTCCAGATTATAGTAAAGAAAAGAAAGCAATTTTGCCTTCTGGACACAGCCCTCCAAGAGTCCGGCTTTACACTTGGTATCACTTTTCCTTTGTGGCAATTTGTGCAATCAGCTCCATTTGTGGTTCTAAGTGTTTACGGTCATGCTGTCAGCTTCTTCCAGTGGCTCAGTGTTACAATCTTCACAGACGTGAAAATGCACTCAGATCCGGAGCAAGTTTCTCTGCCTTGTAGCAAGTTAATTAATCTCTCCATTTGGTACCTTTCCAAACATTCTGGCAGGCTTCAACAATCTAGTGATGCTGCCTGTATGAATGCTAGCTGCCCCCCAGGTAAGGTATAGTGATGATCCAGGAAGTTATTTTTATATCACCTGAATTTTGTTCAATGGTATGGTTCAGACATAAGCTCAAAATACAGTGTGAACAGTTTCTCCCCAAACAGGCCAAGGTCGCTGGTGAAAATACATAAGGCAAATAAAAACATAATAGCTAAACAATACTGCAAACAAAAATGCAAGGCAAGCCTATTACCTCTGGATGCTTTAAGCCTTTTAACAGATCACTTCCTCCTTCCGATCTCACTTTCTCACATGTCCACATACCCAATGTACAGAGTAAACGTTCTGAAAGTTGTGCTTAGATAGTTCTTTAGCATTTGTTGTTATTTTTATACACATCACATAAGAGCTTTTTATCTCCCTACAACTTTACACCCCCACTCGTCTGTCAGTTTGTCATACAGGGGTGCCTTGCCTGTTGCCGTGATACTGGAAGCCATGCCACCAGTATTTCAAATACCAGAAGGGTCATCCATGGTGGACAGGTTTCAGCATAGCTTCCAGACTAAGACAGGCTGGGAAGAAGGACCTGGCAATCTACTTCTGACAAAATTGGCCAGTGAAAACCTTATGGATAGCAGCAGAGCATTGTCTGATATAGTGTTAGAAGATGAGCCCCTCAAGTTGGAGGCACTCAAAATACAATTGGGGAAGAGCTGCCTCCTCAAAGTAGAGTCAATCTTAATGACATGGATGGAGTAAAGCTTTTGGGACCCTCATTTGCTGATGTGGCACATCTCAAAATGAGAAGAAGTAGTTACAAACATCCATTAATAATCAGAACATGGAATGTACGAAGTTTGTATCAAGGAAAGTTGGAAGTTGTCAAAAACAAAATGCAATGATTGAAGACTGATATCCTAGGCATTCCTAAGCTGAAGACAGACTGGTACTGGCCATTTTGAATCAGATAATCTTATGGTATACTTACTATGCTGGGAACAACAAATTGAAGAGGAATGGTGTCACATTCATCGTCAAAAAGAACTTTTCAAGATACATCCTGAAATAACAAGGCTGCCCATGATAGGATACTATCCATATGCCTACAAGGAATATCAGTTGATATGACATGACTATTATTCAAATTTATACACCAACCACTAATGCCAAAGATGAAGAAACTGAAGATTTTTATCAACAATTGCAGTCTGAATTGACCAAACATGCAGTCAGGATGCATTGATAATTACTGGGGATGGATTCCGAAAGTTGAAAACAAAGAAGAAGGATCAGCAGATGGAAAATAATGGCCTTGGTGAAAGAAACGATGCCAGAGAACACATGATACAACTGCCCCATAGGATTTCTAAGGAGTGGCTGGTGTATTGGAACTGCCGACCTTTTGGTTAGCAGTCATAGCTCTTAACCACTACACCACCAGGGATCTGTGCCACCTATAAAACCAAAACCAAAGTCATTGTGGTGGAGTCGATTCTGACTCATAGCGACCCTAGAGGACAGAGTAGAACTGCCCCATAGGTCTCCTAAGGGGCAGCTGGTGGAGTGGATTTGAACTGACGACCTTTTGGTTAGCAGCAGTATCACTCAACCACTGCACCACCAGGGCTCCGTGCCACCCATAAGCGGTACTTAATAAAGATTATTTAATTGAAAGAATAAAGAAGTATGAGGAAGAGAAAGGAAAAGGAAGGGAGAAGGAGGTCAGGCAAAAACTGTTCACATTCCCTCAGCCTGCCCTCGCCTCTCTCCCAGGTCTTGATGGGGCAGAAACGGGAGAAGAATGAGAACGGAAGGGAAGAAAGATAAAATGCAAGGATGAAGACAGACATAACAAGTGAGGAGGCCAAAGGACCACCCTTGATGCTTCAGGCCAACTTTAAACCAAAAGTAACTGGACTTGGGCCTTCACAAAAGTTGATACTCTAACATTTCATTTAATTTATGTCCAAAATGCCCAAAACAGAGACGATTTTCCATTAAAAAAAAAAAAAGTAAAATACGGAAAGCGGGGGAGACGGTAACACTAACTTTGTGTGCACTTAGGCAAGGCACTCAACATTCATGGACTTTGGCTTCCTGGTCCTGGAAATTGAGGATAAAAAACAAGACGATCTTGAGCTGCCCTCTGGCATCCACATCTGTGAGTCTTTGTAGGACCAGTGGTGGCTCAGAGTCGTGGCACCCACTCAACACTGCCTCTGCCACGTCTGGTCGAAACGAGGCATGTCACCATGCACTGAGGGTCTAATGGCAAGTTCTGTGGGGATATATGCCATTTAAACATGGCTATACTATTGACAACTTCAGCCCCTCAAAGGCCTCTATGCTGCACAGGACATGTTGAGACTTGTCAGCAATGAGGAGGAGATTAGGCACGACTTGTTTTCCGAAACCTATTGTCCCTTTACTGATTGGCTTGTTTACCTGAATTCCTTCTCCCTTGCCCGAAACTTATTGTTACTCACCCAAAGCCCATTGTTCTGTTATTTGCTTCACTGTTTGCTGTATTGACTATAAATAAACTCCTGGGACTGAAGCCAGGGTCAACTCCTCAGAGTGACCCTCCTGGCCCCACTTCTCTGTAAGAGTTGTGTTTGGTTACTGTCTCCGCCGTCCTGACATTCGCCACCGCTGTGACAAAGTTCCTTCGTTACACCAAAAAAAAAAAAAACCAATTGTCATCGAGTCGATTCCGACCCATGGTGACCCCATGTGCGTTAGATAGAGCTGTATTCCACAGGGATTTCAATGGTTATGACTTTTTGGCAGGAGATCACCAGGGCTTTCTTCCAAGGCACCTCTGGGTGGACCTGAACCTCCAACCTTTCTGTTAATACCTGAGCATGTAACCATTTGTGCCACCCAGGGACTCCTAAGTTCCTTCATTACACGTTCTGAAACAAAGTAAATCTGAATCCCTCAGAGGCCACTGCGAATACACCACCTTCTAGGAAGGGAATAATTAGCCCTGCCAGCACTGAGAAAAGGTGCCCTGGTGGCGCAGTGGTTAAGCATTCGGCTGCTAACGAAAAGGTCAGTGGTCCTAACCCATCAGCTGCTCTACAGGAGAAAGATGTGGCAGTCTGCTTTTGTAAAGCTTTACAGTCTTGGAAACCCTATGGGACAGTTCTACTCTGTCCTACAAAGTTGCTAAGAGTCGGAATTGACCAAATGGCAACAGATTTTTGTTGTTGTTGTTGTTGTTGTTGGGCACTGAGAAAGCCACTTCAAAATCAAAGCTTCCTGATGGGAAACTGATGCTAAAAGTAGGAATCACTTGAAGCATATAGCTTAAATACAAGTGACTGAAGTTATCTGGCAAAAGCAATTCAGAATAGAAATGTCTACTTTTCCAGGCCTCCTCTCTCCCATCCAAATGTTTTCAGTTCAAGTATTACTCTTCAGATAGCAAAGAGGTTAAGTTTCTTTCCACTCAATACACTGTAGATACTAGTATTTCCCATGCCTGCTAACTCCCACTCTCCTTTGCTGGTTCCACTTTTCAGTAACCAAGAGATGCAACAGAGCCACGCCATAGAAAGAGGCAGAATTAGGAAACAAACGAACTAAACTACGTGTACACACATGGCCAGCTTCAGAGATCATCTTCAGTGAAACAGATGCTAAATTATTTCAATCAACAGTAGCATTTATAATGCACAACGAAAAGGCAGCAAGACTCTCACGGAGTGAACTAGGAGCAGTTTGTTACACCAGCTAGAAGCAATGACAGTCCTATGAGTTAATAAACCATTAGAAAGAAACTGAAGGGTGATTTATGTTCATTAAAATTTGTCAACATTTTCAGAGAAGAACTGCATTGTGGTTGTGAGCCAAACGTGGTGGATTTAGTCTATGTAGCCATGGTGGACCAGCACAAGCCGAGAAGAAATTCAGTTCTGGTTTGACTGAGTAGTCCTGCCAGGACTCAAAAGGACTATAAATTTGTTAACTAGTTCAAGTCAAAGTTCTATCAGACTAATTGAGAAGTCTTTCCATTAATAGTATGTGCCAAAACAGTTGTACAGATATTAATAAAATTAAAGATTGAGAACCCGCATTAACATCAAGTTGTGGCTTCCAGGCTACTTACATCTGTGTCGGGTCCCTTATCCGCACCCGGGCAAGAAAAAGTAACGAACTCATGGCACCTCTTGTGCACCACAAAACAGCAAACTGGTGGAGAGAAAAGAAAATTACAATTAGAACCGTCTAGATTTAATATACAAGCTTTACTTCTCAAATAAAGGGCTACTTGCTGTTAGAAGTCAATTTAATTTCACTACAGACAGAATCTCATAAACAGTAATCAGAAAGCATTTCAATCAAGACTCAGCAACATTTGGTATTGACTGGACTCATAGATAATAGAATCACAGAATGTCAGCGCTGACAGGGGCCAAGGAGCCCTCAACTGCAGCTCCTCCAGCTCTCTAACGGCGAAGGAGAGGAAGGCTGAAGACTGTGAGACACTTCCTCAAGGCATAAGTCAGGAATCAAAATGGAAAGTTCTTTGCACTGTCCTAAACAGGAGCCGTGGTGGCATAGTGGCTAAGCACTTGGCTGCTAATCAAAAGGTCAGCAGTTCAAATCTACCAGCCGTTCTGTGGGAGTCCACTTCCATAAAGATTAACAGCCTTGGAAACTCTATGGGGCAGTTCTACTCTGTCCTACAGGTTTGCTATGAATTGGAATCAACTTGACGGCAGTAGGTTTGCACTGTCCTATACCACACACACACACATTACACTTTGTGGATGAAATAAAAAACATATACAATAAAAAATGAATATTGCAGATTATAAATAATATATAGGCATTCCTAAATATACATTGCAGGACTTCCTCAGCAGAATTTCTAACTTAAGGAACTCATTAAAACATAAACCCAATCTACAGAAAACAGCCCTCTGCAATGACAAAAGCTGGGGAATATCCTAACACCTTCTTGTATCTACCTTCTTGCTACAGATGCCGGTACCACTTGCGGAGGCCATGCAAACTGAGCAAAATCCAATACACAACAAATATTTTCCAAACTCAACATGGTTTTGATAAATAATCCTGAAGATGACCAACAAAAGAATTTAATTGTTAACTCTAGAAATTAATAAGTAATATCGTAAAGAGATTTTTATGGATAGTATACTGTGGAAGTTACAAAAAAATAAACAAATGACCTATTCCTCCTTCCTTGAAAACTTGCAGTCTGGTTGTACAGCCTTGCAAACAGAATGAAAAGAGGGAGGGGTGCTCCAAAGGGCATAATCTACTACTTTATTGTTCTTTGTTGAGACTAAAAACAATGTATCCTCAGAAATATTGGTTAAGTCTTTATTGCAAAAGAAAGGATAGAACGTTTCTAATGCGTGACTCATGTGCTGTTATCTTCTCCCTCGGGAACAGACAACTCCCAGGCTAAGTCCTTGCACACCTGTCAGCAGATGAAGACTCAAGAGAGGATGGCAGGTTTGCTGAGAGCTGAGATCCCAGGAGGAGAAGAGCTGAGTACTGAGAGGATCGTTGGAGGACCTTGAATGGCCAGCAAGAAATTCAGAGTATTTTCTGATAGCATTGGAAGCCACTGAAAGTTTTTGAACAAAATGATGACATAAACAAAAAGCGGTGCTTTAGAAAGGTAGATGAGGGTGAAAAAACCAAACCAGATGTGTTGCCGTCGAGTCGATTTCGACTCACAGCAACCCTACAGGACACAGTAGAACTGCCCCCATAAGGTTTCCAAGGAGCAGCTGGTGGATGTGAACTGCCAACCTTCTGGTGAGCAGCTGAGCTCTTAACGACTGTGCCACCAGGGCTCCAAATGAGGGTGACAGAAAGGATTTAATGGACTAGATAAGGGGCCATAAGGCCCAATTAGAAGCTTCTTGCATCATCCATATGAAAGTAATTGCCCGTCATTATTCTGGCTCAATGGCACCTAACAACACCATTCAGGCTGCTAAGAAATAGAAAGTAATAGAGACCAGAGCCATTGCAGTAAAAGAGTTGATGGGACTTGCCAACTGACCACAGATACCATTTCTTGAGCGTGCTATTGCATGTCAGGCACTCTGTTCGGCCCTTTCACGTGCATGTAACTGATCCTTATATCAACACTATTTAATATGCACTACTTAATCTATGGATGGGGAACACTGTTCAGATACCCCATGTATCTAGCATTTAGTAAGCACAAAACAAGTATTTTGGATGGGAGAGAGCAAGGAAGGCAGGGAGGACAGATGGGTAGATAGATGGATGAACTGACAGATGGATGACGGACCTGCCCAAAGTCACACACCTACTAACTGGTGGAGACAGGATTCATAGAAAAGGCTTGCTGGACTCCACAGCCTCCGTTCCTTCCACTGTATCAGAGCCACTGACAGGATATCAGGAGTAGAAAGATATTAGAGCTAATGCTAAGAATCTGCACATGAATGACAGGAGGATGGCTACACAGTAAAATGTGTGTGTGTGTGTGTGTTTGTGTATTTATTTGCATATGTTTTCATATATACCTATACTTATACCTGTAGGGCATTGGTGGTTCAGTGGTAGAATTCTTGTCTTCATGGGGGTGACCCAAGTTTGATTCCCAGCTAATGCACCTCATGTGCAGTCACCACTTATCTGTCAGTGGAGGCTTGCATGTTGCTATGATGCTGAACAGGTTTCAGTGGAGCTTCCAGACTAAGAAGAACTAGGAAGAGAGGTCTGGCAATTTACTTCCAAATATCAGCCAATGAAAGCCCTACGGGTCACGATGGTCCAATCTGTAACCGATCATGGGGATGGTGCAGGACCAGCAGCATTTAGTTCCATTGTGCACAGGGTCACCATGAGACAGGAGCTGGCTGACTCAACAGCAGCTAACAAGAACATACTTAAACCTATGCCTATGCCTATGCCTGCCTGCCTATCTATCTAGCTCAGAGGATGAAGGTGTGGCTATGCCATGTTAGAGAACAGGAAAGTAGGATCATGGATGCTTAACTGTCTACGTTCTAAATAGCTTTCCTTTCAGGGGGTCATGATATAATATCACAGTAAAGATATATTTTTTTTAAAAAAAAAAAACACAGGCTTGGCATTGAGCAGGCAGAGAGCAGGGCATATGGGGGAACCATCCACAGAGAGGTGATAATTAAAGATCTCTTAAAGTGAACATCCCTTTAGAAGCGAAGATGCCCTGAATACGGGCTTCTCATGGGCTGTCTACCACACGTACCACACCTGCCACACCTGTCCACTGTGCACGAGTTGGGGCAGGAGGAGGTGAGTGGGAAGCGACAGAGGAAAGAGCCTGTTAGCATCCTGGGCAGCCCTGAGGCACTACAAAGGGCAGTGCTGAGCTGCTTCAAGCCCTTCGAGGAGTGCCCTTTCCACTGGGTTTCTGCTAAAAGCGTCTTGACTGCAGATCTCTCTAAGGACAGATAATAGAAGCAGCCCTGAAATGGCATCAATTAATCTGATCTGCTCGCTCTCCCCAGGCACAAAGTCATCTTCCAGTCACTGGAATTAAAAAGAAAAACTGCTAAGGCAAAGAAGCATAGGGGCGTTATTTCCTCATCACTGTTATGGATATGGTGTTTTGAGAGGAAGAAAAACATTGATTCCCTGCTTAATCTTTCTAACATTCAGGCTTTTCATCTTTCCTTTTTTAAAAAAAAAAAAATATATATCTTTGCATTCTGGTGAACACTGTTAAAAAAAAAAACATATTTATCAAATTCCTTTAAAAGGATAGTTTGTCTCTTTGTACCTGTCCTTTGTTTCCCCATTTACCAGGGCTTCAAACTGGTTCTAAAAGGTTCAGTCATGGCGGACGGAAACAAGGGCAGAGTACGTGTTGCATAGCAACCGAATCTTCCATCCTTCGGATTTTGACCCAAGTAGGAAACAGGTGGCAGTGCCCTCCTCAAAGATGGCAGCCTACCGCACCGCTTTGACAATGTGTCGGTCACCACAGTCCTGCCAATAATCCCATCTTCCACATCAGGTTCCTGAAAATTTCAACTATATCAACTGAAAGGTTCAGGAGCCTGGTGTGAGAGATTAGATTATTGGCAGGACTGTGGAGAATAACACATGCAAAGCAGCTTGGTCATCCGCCATCTTTCAGCGAGGCACCACTGCCTGTTTCCTACTCTGGTCAAAGTCCTATGAGTGAGAAATTAGGTTGCTATGCAATGTGTACACTGCCCTTGTTTTCACTGGCCATGACTGAACTATTTCCAACTGGTTCAAAGCCCTGCCATTTACACATCAATGCAATTAAATGCCTCCAATGGAAAGTATTTCTATTGTATATCTCAAAATATCTCTTACATCAAATTTTATCCAAAGAAAGAGCAAGACCTCACTACACAGTATAATTTGCAGAGGCAGCAAAAGCTCCAACTCATGGTAACCCCATGTGTGTCAGAGTAGAACTGCGTGCCACAGGGTTTTCAATGGCTCATTATTCAGAAGTAGGTCACCGAGGGCTTTCTTCCAAGGCACCAGTGGGTAGACTCGAACCTCCAACCTTTCAGTTTGCAGTCAAGCATGTTAACCTTGTGTACTACCTGGAGAAACCCCACTTACCCCAAAATTACCTCTTCCAACCTGCCTTAGCAGCCCCCTCTCTTCCTACCTCATATGAAAGTCTCATTTCTAAAAGTGACTGGATTTACCCAAAGGAGGTTAGAGGGAAGGGTCATGTGTTTCCAGAGAATCATTCAAGATGTGAGGTATTTGAGGGATGAGAACCCCGCACACATGTTCAAAGGTCCAAGATTCAGAATGGATTATCTCCACAGGCAGACGAAACAGAATGCGCCCATGCCTGGGTGACCTGGACTAAGGAGACAAAGCCCAGCTCTTCTCATCCCCAGTGAGGGGAGCGGGAAAACAAGCTCAGAGGTTGGCTGACTCCACCTGGATATGACATTCACCTGGAAAAGGCTGCCCCAGAAAATGAGGCAATGGCTGCAGATTCCAAAGTCCCTGATAACTGGTCCTGATTTTCAGTTTTAAGTTCTAACTAAATTAAGTAACATGCATTCTGTAAGACAATATAACGCAAGCATTTGAGAAGTCATGCTAGTGTAAAGAGAAAAAAACTAGCTCCATAAAACAAGAGAATGCACTGGGTTTACCCGGAGATCGACGGTATGGGCTTTCCTCGGGTT